GTCTTCGATTGGTACCGCCGTCTCAAGTCTGCAAGCATCAATAGTTGGGATGACCTGGAGAATCTATTCCTCGCTCACTTCTTTGATGATAATGCTAAGGTGTCAATCAGAACACTCTTCGATGAGAAACAAGAAAATGACGAGACGGTCGACAACTTCGTCAAGCGCTTCTGGAATAAGGCGATGAATTACTAAGATCCGATCACAGAGGATTTCATCCTCCAAACCTATCACAACAACCTCTCTTTGGATGTGTTGAAAGTTATGGGAGTAGCACCATCCACTACCTGGAAAGAGTTAAAGGTGCGCGGCGAAAGGGACGAACACTTCCTCAGAAGGAAACAAGCCGAGAGAAGACGAACGATGGCTAATCATCCGAATTCAAACTTCGCCTCCCGTGATAAGGGAAAGGCACCTGTAGTAGTTGTAGACGTTAATCAGACATCACAATAACAATCCCGAAGGCAGCAAAAGACTTCGGATACGAGACTTCAAAAAAAGTACTCATTCAAGGATGAAGATGTTCCAGCTATTTTCGAGTCCCTTCTTGAAAATGAAAAGATCAAGCTGCCACCTATCGTAGATCAGAAGGAAGCTAATAATACTGCGGATCCGAAGTATTGTGCGTACCACAGAAGGATCCTTCATCCTACCAAGGCTTGCTTCGCTCTCAAGAATAGCATAAAAACCTTGGTTGAAGCCGGTGTCATAACGCTCAATTAAGTCGAATGAAGACTCCGCCAAGTATAAGAGTATAAACTGCTCCTTCTGACACTCTGAATAGTATACGAGTATAAACTGCTTCTCAATACTCTAATAGGTATATGAGTCTAAACTATTTCCCTTCTTTCACGGAAAGTTCCTAGAGAATCTTATATTCTTAAGGATAACCCGAACATGCGACTGAGGACAACGTACTCCTCATTAGACCTAGTTTTGTAGAGAAAGCTAGGGGTGAATAGTTCATGTAACGAGAAGTTTCCGGAAGAATGTTAAATGTAATATTCTTAGGGATAACCCGATCATTACGAACAAAGTGATAAATACTAAAATCCCACTGTGATTTCCGAACACTCTTTTGTTAACAACTCACAGTCTTCCACCACAAAATCCCCCTCCGATCAGACTAATTGACGGTGAGACCACCAAAATTCCTTTCGGTTAAATCCGCTCAAACTTTCGATGTATCTGTGCACTCAACATCCTCATTGTTAGAGTCCGGACATGGTATTCGGAATTTTAATATCCTGATCCTTGACGAATTGTCAAACCCCTTCGTGTTAAGTTCTTATCACTTGACACCAAGAACCCTCATTAAGTAATCGGTACAAGTTAATACTCCCACTGTGATTTGTACTCCCACTCCCACTGTTTACCTGGTCAAACCTTCTTACAGTTAGGACCACAACCAAAATCCCCTCTCGATTCCCCTAATGAACGAGAGGCCCACAAATCGAGCGATCAAACCTTCCTATAGTTTGGATCGTCTCAAACCTCCCACTCGGTCAAACCTTTCTACAGTTAGGGTCAAAACTAAAATCCCCTCTTGATTTCTTCAATAAACAAGAAGTCCACAAATTGAGCGATCAAACCTTCCTACAGTTAGGATCGTCTCAAAACTCCCGCTTGGTCAAACCTTCCTACAGTTAAGACCAAAACCACAATTCACTCTCGATAAACGAGAAATTCATCTTTAGTTCGGTAATCAAACCTTCCGACAGTTAGGGTTATCCGAATCTTTTCGATTCACGGAGTGGAGATCCCACTCTTAGTTTTACCTTCCCGGATTCTTAAAGTGAAAATCCCACTTTGAGTTTCCTTTTGCTACTGGAGATAGAATATAAAATTCTTCCTCTTCAATTTTAGGAGATAGAATATAAAATTCTTCCTCTTCCGCATCCGGTTTAGTCTTTTACCGATTGAAGAAGACACCAGAATTCAAGTCTGGGGAATTTTATCCCGAATCCTAAGCAGGGGTAAGTCAATTCTTAACACGCATTGCCGGTTAGTTCTTAACCGTAAAAAGAATAAAAACCCACATATTCGACATTGTGACAGGTTGTTATTCATAATGCTAAAATCCGTGCTTCACACGTACGGGGACTTTTATCTTGAATCCTAAGAAGTGATAAGTCAACGTCTAACACGTGTTGCCGGTTTAGTCTTTCACCGATTGAAGAAGACACCAGAATCTAAATCTGGAGACTTTTATCCCGAAGCCTAAGTAGGAATAAGTCAATGCCTAACACGCGAGTAGTCTATTTCCGTGAGAAAGACGAAATCTACGTATTCAATATCATAGCACTAAAAGAGTTAACTCTTTTAGCATAACGTTATATGTGGAGCAGACTTAAACAATCCGCATGCAAGCCCAATTCAAACGGTAATCGGTAAAGGCACGTCAAACCCATTGAAGGCTGAGGGTTTGCCAAAAAACTTGAAGTCTACACCTAATACGCTTCGCCGTTTAGTCTTTTCATGTGAGAAAGACGAAGCCTACGTATTCAATATCGTAACACTAAAAGAGTTAACTCTTTTAGCATAACGTTACATTCGGAACAGACTTAAAAAATTCGTATGCTAGCCCGACTCAAACGGTAGTCGGTAAAGGCTCATCAAACCCGTTGATGGCTGAGGGTTTGCCAAAAATCCTATATATGCAAAAGTCACTGACGCACCAGCCCCATTAGTTGGTCTCGTGACTTGGGCATCCAACAAATTCGGGATAAGATCCACACATGCAGATGAATCAGCTTTAATAGTTGGTCCTGCAGCCTAATATTTAGGATCACCACGCTCTAACGCTTTAAGAGCTTAAACTGTGTAGACTCCAGCAAACATATGAGTACAAACTATGTTAACGCTGATCGGTACGAAACCTAAGGTCAGCGCCGGTCAACGCGTAGCCCAAGGTCAACGTCGTTCAATGTGTTGCGATGTAGCTAATTAGTTCAAAGTCAACTCAATGACACGAGCCAAAATTAACTTATCAATTTTGATTCAAGACTTCGACAACGGTCAGACGATAAACGCGACACTGAAAAAATTTTAACTATTCGACAAAATACTGGATAGACTGAAAAGTGGAGAAGTCAAGAACTGAAGCCAATTATAGGTCATTTGACACCGATTGAAGGTGGGGGTCTATCACATCCAAAGCATTTCAAACTTATCTATAGAAGAACGAGGCTGAAACACTTTGGAGAGAGTATCTGTAGGCGTCTAAAATTGCCTATAAGGTCCCGCACGTAGCTCGAAATGAAGAGTGGACGAATCGAGAAGGTTCACATCAACCAGCTCGCGCGCGTCAATCAGCTCACGCGCGTCGGTAAACATGCGCGCGTCAATCAATTCGCGTGCGTCAGTCAACGAGCGCATGTCAGTCAGCTCGTGCGCGTCAATCAGCTCGCATGCATCAATCAGCTCGGACGCGTCGATCAACACCAAGCGACCGAATGTACTCGTTAGTCAACTTGCGCTCGTCGGTTAGTTCCAAGTATCGTAAAGAAGCTAACAAGCGTATGAATTAAGTTAGCAAATCGTATAAGTCAACAAGACGGTCAAATACGTAAAACGGTGGAAAATACAAGTCCCAAAAAAGTTGGAAAACACCAAACAGTTCAGAAAAAAGACCGAACTACCCGCACCCGTGCGAGTCGAACCGCGCTGACCCGCGGCCGCGCAGGGTCGTAGCCAACCAGCGGGATGTTTCGCGCAGGTTTGACCCCCAGACGCGTTTTTTGACGGTTTTGAGCGGTTTTCTCAGGATTTATCTGTCCAGAGGTTCTTAACTGCCTAGATATCATCTACAAATGTGATTAGGCTGTTATTGACTGAAGATAAGGTCAAATCACTCATTCTCATCCACATACCTGCATCCGGAACCCTATAAATACAAGCCTAGGGCCTCCTTTCAGGGGGGCAAATTATTATCAAGACGTGGAGGTGCTGCTGGATTGAGGAGTCAAGGAGCACGAATATCAGCGAAGGCAAATCAGATCCCGGCGAACTTCGACATAAAGAAGGAGTCTTTGGAAGGATCTGAACCCTCGTCCGTCCGTTCCTTGAGATTAGACTTGGTCTTAATCTCGAGAAAAACCCCTGATTTTGCTTGGTCGATTTCAGCGCTTCAATCAAATACTCCCTCGGTGAAGGCGAAGTTCTGCCTAATTTTCCATCAACCGGATCCAGATCTAAGGCGGTGCACGGATATCAAAATCCCCGGCACAGACAAAGATCCCGCACAAGCAGAAGACCGATAAACGATCTCCCTGTGTTTGTTTTGACGAGGGTTGTAATTTTTATTTTTATTGTGTAAGAGTCTTATAAAAAGACTATCTTTTTTTTATTGTAACGACTGAAGTTGTAATTAATACCGTAATGAATACATCAACTTTCGACGCAAACACCCATGTTTTTCCCATTTTCTCTCCAGCATCCAAGGAATGGTGCAGCTCAAATTTTTTATGTCGGTTTTATTCACTTTTCTCCGATTTCAGGCTCTTGGGGACACAAAACGTCTCTCCTCCAAATCCTATGTGGAGTTTGTTCTCTCCTCCTCTTTTCTGCATTATTTTGACAAGCCAAACATTAAATAATGAGGGGAAACTGACAAATTTTTTCCGTGTTAGTTTCTTTTGAGCTTTTCTGCACTTATTTGATCAAGCAAAAGGGTATACGTGGCAACAATTCACTGTGCTAGGAGCCTGTTCCCCATCGCAATCAGCACACCTCAGCTCAAAAAATCTTTCCAATTCCCCACGTGGAGCATGCCTAAATAATTCTTTTAAAAAAAATATCCAAATTTGCCGTGAAACTTATCCCAACCTTTCCCGCAAGTCAGTCGAGTGACAAATCCCCAATTCCCAGTCACAAGTCAAAAAAGAGCCAAGCTCCCTCTCTTCCTCGAACCTCCGAAGACGGACCTGAAGGCGTCGCCGTCCCCTCTGCTGTTCCTTTAAATAATAATATCTCTCCCCAGTTCCCTCCCGAAGCGCTGACGAAAATTAACCCGAAACCGGAGTCCGAATCCGAATCCAAGATTCAGAAATGGCGGCCATCGATGCCCGCAGCGATTCTGCCCCTCGACCTCCACCTTCCACAGCAGGCGCAAACCCGTCCCCCTCCCGCCGACCTTTCCTTGACGTCACCACCTTCATCTCACCCCCGCCAGCACCCGGCGAGATCGCCCTAATCGACGCCTCGGCCGGCCGCCACGTCACCTTCGCCGAGCTCCACCGCGGCGTGCGCTCCTCACGTCGCCCTTACCCTCCTCCCGCTCGCGTCCGCGGGCCACGTCATCCTCCTCCCCCCCCCCAACTCCATCTACTTCCCCGTCGTCTCCCTCGCCGTCATGTCCCTCGGCGCGGTCCTCACCACCACCAACCCCCTCAACACCCCTCAGGAGATCTCCAAACAGGTCGCCGATTCTAACCCGGTGCTCGCCTTCACCACCCGACCCCTCGCGTCCAAAATCGACAAAACCATCCCGATCGTCCTCCTCGAGGAGCCCCAGCCCGCCGGCTGCGAGAACCCGCAGGAGGTGGCCACGATCGGCGAAATGATCTCTGCGGAGCCCGATCGTAACAGAGTCAAAGAGAGGGTGAGCCAAGACGACACCGCCACGCTTCTCTACTCCTCCGGGACGACAGGAACGAGCAAGGGCGTGGTCTCCACCCACCGCAACCTGATCTCCATGGTGCAGATTATCATCAACCGGTTCCAGCTCGATGAGCCGGAGACCTTCATCTGCACCGTCCCGATGTTCCACGTGTACGGCTTAGCAGCGTTTGCGACGGTATCCTCGGTCTGGATCTACGCATAGTGGTCCTTGTCCAGGTTGAGATGGGGATTGTTAGGAGCAATTTAGGACCACAAAGCGACTTAATTTACCGCTTGTGCCGCCGATCTTGGTTGGTCGCTTGCCAACAGAGCAAGCCCCCCCGTTAGGGTTCTCTACGGCGAGGAAGTGATCGAGGGGTTCAGAGAGAAATACCCAAGCATAGAAATACTGCAGGGGTACGGTTTGACTGAGAGCACGGGTATCGGGGCCTCGACGGACTCGGCGGAGGAGAGTGAAAAATACGGTACGGCCGGGATGCTGTCGCCGAATACCGAAGCGAAGATTGTGGATCCAGATACGGGCGCGGCGCTGACTGTTAACAAAACAGGGGAGCTCTGGATACGGGGACCGTATGTCATGAAAGGGTATTTTAAGAATCAGGAGGCGACGAAGTCGACGCTTCTCGATGATGGGTGGTTGAGGACCGGGGATTTGTGTTACATTGATGAGGATGGGTTTTTATTTGTGGTGGACAGGCTCAAAGAGCTGATCAAATATAAGGGATATCAGGTCAGTTTGTGTTATGTTAATCAGAATGGCGATTTTTGTGGAGGAATTGAATGGTGAATCTGATACGTTTATGGATTTTTTTTTTTTTTTTTTTAATTATTTCAGGTTGCGCCTGCGGAGCTGGAGGCATTGTTGTTGGCGCATGCTGAGATTGCCGATTTTTTTTTTTTTTTTTTTTAATTTCAGGTTGCGCCTGCGGAGCTGGAGGCATTGTTGTTGGCGCATGCTGAGATTGCCGATGTTGCCGTGATACCGTAAGTTTTCTTTTCCCTTGGAATTTGGTGATTGGAACCAACATTTTAGCGGCTGTTTGGTTCAAATGCTAAATTTTTTGGATATGTAATCTCATAAAGAATTTTAAATCTATAGGTACCGTTTGGCAAAGGGTTAAGTGAGGGGTTAATGAGACTTAACCCCTTCTTAACCTGCCAAACACAACAAATCTATATAAGGGTTAAAGTAAGTTAACCCTCCATAATTTGCCAAACATAAAAAATATAGAAGGGTTAAGTTAACCCCTCTAGAGGGGTCAAAATGAGTTAACCCCTCAAAATGAGGGGTTTACTAATACTCCTATTTAGATGGAATAAGAGTTAACCCTTCTAATTATAAAGAAAATAGTCAAAATCATTGTTATTCCCAAACACTAAAACTGATCATAAGGACTAAAATAAAACTTATTTAACGGGTTAATAATTTAGTCCTTCGGATTATCAAATGGGCTAAGTACATTAATCCTTCTCTTTAACCCATTTTCATTAACCCTTTGCCAAACGGGGCCATAGGGTTTATACATGCTTTGGGATTTCTAACATTTTATTTGGTCCAATATTATTATAAGAAAGTAAATCTTATAATTTGTAGTATCTTGTTTGATTATAGGATAACAAATTCTAAAAAAAGGAGAGGTGAATATAGTTATCTTGGTGAGGTTACTTCTCGCAAGAAAATAAAATACAATGGTATATAAAGTGGGGTAAGAGGCTGCTTGGTTCAAATGCCAAAATTTTAGGATTTGTAATCTTGTAGAAAATTTCAAATCCATAATGTTTTATACATGCTTTGGGATTTCTAATCTTTTATTTGGTTCATCATATTATAGGAAAGCAAATCCTACAATTTGTAATATTTTTTTAATTCAAATCCAAATTATCGCATAACCAACTCTAAAAAAGAAAGAGAGGTGGGTATAGTTACCTCGGTGAGGTTACCTCCCACCAAAAAAAAATAAAGAAAAGAAAATACAAAGGTATATAAAGAGGGGTAAGTGTACCCATTTATGTGATTTGCCAAATCTTCTCCAATTGAGAGGATTTGACAAATTCTAAAAATCGGGTGCTTTTTGTACTTTTGGGACCCAACAATCTAAAAAAATTATTGAAACGAACATCACCTGTGAAATCGCAAAAGCTAAAAAAACACGCTTTTTGATCCCAAAATTTGTAATCCACACCAAATGCTAAAATTTTACTTGAACCAAACAGCCCCTAAAGTGTACCCATTTAACCAAATCCTCTCCAATGGAAGATTCTAAAAATTGGGTGTTTTTTGCACTTTTGGAATTCAACATTCTAAAAAGCTTACTGAAATAAACATTAACTACGGAATCCAAAAACCCAAAAACATACACTTTTTTATCCCAAAATCTGTAATCTACACCAATTGCCAAAATTTTACTTGAACCAAAAGTCCCTTAGTGGAGGTTATGTTTCATCGTTTAGAGGTTTAGTCCATGTTATTGTAACAAAGAAAAATTAAAGTAAAAATGATGTGTACATAATAATAGTTTGATATCAAGAGTTAACAAAAGTTACTTTTTCTGTCAAAATGTGAGTGGGAATCAAAACTGAGGACCGGACTGGACAATTGACTATATCCCCCATTAACATTTGCTGCATGCGACATTGCTGCATTTACAATTGTAACATACCAAAGAGCCCTTAGCATTGGAACGGGTTGTCCAATCAAGTCTTTAATTTCAGAACGCTAGACCGTTAAAGATGTGGTGGTAACGCTTTTTAGAAATTGACCACATTATCAAAATTATAACATAATCTGGCTATTGTTGTTGCTGGTAATTTAGATATATTTAAAATATTGTAGGTTTCCAGATAAGCAAGTGGGTCAGCTTCCAATGGCGTATGTTGTGAGGAGGAGTGGAAGCAAATTGAACGGGGAAGAGGTGATGGAGTTTGTGGGAAAGCAGGTGGCGCCGTACAAAAGGGTCCGGAGGGTGGCATTTGTATCGTCTATTCCGAAGAATGCATCAGGGAAAATACTGAGGAAGGATCTGATCAAGCTTGCTACTTCTACCTCCAAGATGTAGAATTTGGTTTTGTTCTTGTAAGTTCTTTAGGCCGGATGTTTTGGGTTGTATTTGACTATGGATGCATAAATTATTCTGAGTTCTACTTTGGTTGCTTCCCTTTTGCAAAATTTGATATGAGATGAAGTGGAGTACTGAAATCTTTTTTGGTGGTATTGTGCATTAATCTAAATTGATAAAATAGTACTAGGATATATGTGTCCATCAGTCAGCTGAAATTACTTTCACCTTGAATTTGACTGATTTGAGATTATTTAGACTTTGGTTCCAAATTTTGTCGCGTGCCGTACGGAAGCGTGCTCGACAACCAAACGAGTCGGTGAGCGATGAGAGAAGAAAACCAAAACCAAACACGAGTGCAATTCACAAAATAACGAGCAAAATCACACACAAATACATGAATTTACGTGGTTCGGCAATTACCTACGTCCACGGGGAGAGGATGAGGAAATTTCACTATATAGAGGAGAAATACAACGGGTTACAACTCATAAAATCACTCAAATATAAGCCTAACCAAAGCTCTCAACTCCCTCACAATATCTCCCTCTCAAAGTGCTCAAAACAATGCTAATTATCTACTTTTCTCTCCTTAAGAAACCCTAAAAAACGTGGTTCTATTTATAACAAAATACAATCCCAAATAGATTAGGATTCTAAAAACGAGTCTGCCACACTAGGGTGTGGCGCAGACCACACCCATGGTAGACATGACAGATTCTGCCACACCAGGGTGTGGCGCAGACCTCACCCATGGCAGACAGGGCAGATTCTGCCACACCAGGTGTAGGCATCGAAAATTGCCTATAGGTCTCCACGAACAGCTCAATGCTAAGAAACAACGATGAACGTCACTATCCGGTTCACAGAAGTTTGATTGATGTCGGTGAACGCTTGAAGTGAATCGACGAACTACGTAAACCAACGGAATTTCAGAATAACAAAAACACGAACTGATCGGGAACCTCGTATCGTTCACAAACGGCGAAATACCCTTCGTGTCTCATTTGTTCAAGAACTGATCGGGAACCTCGTATCGTTCACAAACGGCGAAATACCCTTCGTGTCTCATTTGTTCAACTAAGGATATAATCATTGGAGCTTATAGAACTCCTCGTCGGCTTTCCAACGCACTTTTAATCGCTCAAATCCGAGTTCGGATGAAGAAGTTACGGCGGAAACGGACGAATGTGCAAAAACAGCGTCTCAGCCTGAATTGAGACACCCCGAGGTGTCTCAGCCCAAACATGACACCCCAAGGTGTCTCGGCCTCGCTGAGACACCCTGGGGTGTCTCCAGGCCCAAAAACGGGTTGTTATGTTATTTTAACCACCCAGAGCCTATAAATACAGGCCTCAGGCCCTCATTTTGGAGATCTGGATTTTTGGAGAATTGGCGAAGCCCTGCCGGATTGAAGATTGATCGAGTTCTTCAACACAGGAGAGAAAACTTCTTCAGATCTGCACCGCCCGCATCCGATCCTTAGGGTTATCCCGTTGTGATAATTCTAAGAAGAGCAATTATCTCGCCGTTGTCGAGATAAGCGCTTCTGCTTCTAGATTCCCTCATGAATCTACGGAGTTCTGGATCTGATCTGACTGTCAGGTAGTCCACGGATATCGATATCACCGTCACCGGCTAAAGACCCACGTAAGTAAGAAACGACGAACGGATTTTGCGTTATTTTCGAAAAGTTGTAATCTTTCATTTTTTTATTGAATATTTTGAATTCTTTGTAAGCAATCCATATTATAATGAATTCTACAATGAAGACAACTTTCTCCGAAAACAAACTGGCGACCACAGTGGGAGCCAACAGCCTCACTGCCGAGGCTGTCGTGACGCAACCGACATGGAGCCAACAGCCTCACTGCCGAGGCTGTCGTGACGCAACCGACATTCAAGATCCGGGTGAATGAAGAGATCGAATATAAGTTCGATCAACAAAAGTTTGAAGAGTAACTCTCTTCCTCCTCCTCCAGATCCGCCTCTCCAAACAGGCGCAGGAAGGTCTCCCCTTCCAGGAATGCTCGCGCGACCTCAGGGTTGAAGAACCGAGATCCACTCGCCGCCGCTGCACCTACGCACCGCGACGTCCCTACGGCATCCAAAGAGGTCGAAGCCGCAGATCCGGACCTCCACTCCGCCGTAAAGATAACTGCTGAAGGTGCTCCGACTTTGTCGAAGAGGGCGCGCCAAAGACGGCGTCAATGCCTGGCACGACAATTGGCCAAGGCTTCAGAGTCGATGGACGGGATTCGCTATAATGAGGATCTGAAATCCAGGCAGCGCCGAGAACAACAACGGCGAGCAACCAACCTCTCCTTCCTGACAGAAACGAACGAATGGGTTCATGTCAAGAGGACCGTTCCACCCTTGAGGAGTGAATCAAGAAGCTGCAAAAAGCGGAAGAGATGCAAAAAGAAGAGACGGTCAAGAAGCCGCCTAGACACAAGCAGGTGTGGGTACCAAAGGCAAAACTAGCACCTAAGACGAAAGTAGACGGAGTTACCGTCCGGCCTTCTTCAAATCCAGATCCTGTTTCCCCTGTCCCCGCACCTCCGACGGAGCCGAGTAATAACGTGGATCCCACAAGATCCAGAGTTCCTTTGAAAGGTCGCCTTGGTCCTTTACCGGAAGAGCCGAGGTAAATGCACCCGTAAAGGAGCGATTGTCGGCCATTGAAATAGTCCTCCAAACAACAATCCAGACTGGGGGTCATACCAATCCCCCTAAGAAAGATAATAAAGGGAAAGCTCATGTTACCGAACGCATTGGAGTACGGGTTGAAGTTCAAGAGCCCGTTAGGTTTTCACGCTCGCAAAAGCGTAAACCTGAACGAGCGACTTTTGCAGATGCCAATAAAGCGTCGTATCCCCAGAGGGAAACACACTTGTCTGATGATGAGGGTGTTATACCTGGGAAGTTGTGCCAACGCTCTATGGGTTTCTCCAGTTATCAAACTGATGAGTTGTACTATAGGGCCGGGGGTACGGAGAAGTCTCGAAAGAGAAACGTTCGAGACGCGGATTCTCACTGTCCGTGTGCCAACATAATCAAAGCGGTATTATCAGGATGCTGCTGTTCTAAAGCCCCACGAAGAGTTTCTGTGTTTGAGAGAATCTCCACCAGAACGTCCAAAGCCAGACCAAGACACTTCCGTAGAAGGAAACCTACTCTTCAGGAGGATGAATTTCCAGAAGTGTCCGTTAATATGACCGGAAGAGGAAAGTCAACGCGACGCTTTAGTCCGGATCAGTTCACCGAGGTGTCCCAACGTATGACTCGATTGCGATCAGGGACCAGTAGGTGAAAGAATTACCAAAGAATACAGAAGGGACTCCCCTACAGATGATGAAACTTCGGATGTTTGCTCGGATGGTTGCTCAGATGCATGCTCAGCAATGGCTTCCGGATGTTTGCTCGGATGGTTGCTCAGATGCATGCTCAGCAATGGCTTCCGATGACACCGCATCGAGTGTAGGACAACCCTACGAGTCACTAATGATTAGCGCCGAACAGATGGCTAAAATACTTGAGGATGCCCTGACTAAGCAGAAGGAAAATTTCAAGTTCGAAATAGAAATGGCCATGCAGCAGATGAGAGAAATGCATGACCAGCAAATCGCGGCACTGACGACTCATCAAGGAGAATCTAGTAGTCGCAATAATCCTAACCAAGATGAAGATGAACGGGAGGTAGAGGATAATGCCAACAGAACACCCCTCCCATCAACAACAATAATGGGGGTGGCCCTTCAGATGATAACAACACAAAGGAGGATCACATTACTTCTCCCCGATATCACTCGAAGACAGATACGAGCGAGGATAAGAAAATGAGGGACTTGGAGAGCAAAATCAACGCGTTGATGAACGCTCAAGAGGTGAAGAGGTTCGGAATACCATGTCCATACCCAAGGGAATGGGAAGCAATTCCATATCCGGCGAAATTCAATTTGATCAATTTCACGCCGTTTGATGGAAAGGGTTCCCCTACCCAGCACTTAATATATTTTAAGTCTCACTTAGGAATAATCTCCGGGAATGAACCTTTAATGGTGCGGTCATTCGTTGGCACTCTTCGGGGAGCAGCCTTTGATTGGTATCGCCGTCTCAAGCCAGGGAGTATCAACTGTTGGGATGACATGGAGGATATGTTTTTGACAAACTTCTTCGACGACGATACCGAGATTTTAATCGGTACACTATATGACGAGAAACAGGAAAATAGTGAGACGGTCGAAAACTTCGTGAAAAGATTCTGGAACAAAGCGATGAACTGCAGGGATCCGGTCAGTGAAGACTTTATCCTCGAGACTTGTCACAATAATCTTTTATTGGACATCCTCGAAGCTATGGGAATGGCACCACCAAAGACCTGGAAGGACTTGAAAGTGCGAGGAGAACGAGCCGAACGATTCCTTAAAAGGAAGAAGGTAGAAAGAGGTCAAACGGCAAATGATGCTCCACAACAGAACTTTGTCCCTAAGGGTAAAGGAAAAGCACAAGCGAATGCAGTGGACGCGAACCAAACATTCGAAGTACAATCGCAACCGCAACAGCAGCAGCAGAAGGCGCCTCAACAATCAAGGTGGCAACAACAGCCCCAGAAGCAAAAGGCCTCAGAGCCGAAATTCCCAAAGGTCTATTCGTTTAAAGAGGATGAAGTTCCCGGTATTTTCAAATACCTCATAGAGAACAACAAAATCAAGTTGCCTCCGATCCAAGATCAGGAAGACGCTAAAAGAATTAATGATTCAAAATACATTTCACAGAGCGGTGCACCATCCTACCAAGGCATGCTACGCTCTTAAAGATAAGATCCAAGCTCTGATCGATGTCGGGGTCATCACTATGAAACAACCTAAGGAAAAGAAAGTGGGTGCGAATGCAGTATCGATTAGCTTCGGTTCTGTTCCCTTGAACTGGTTCCAGCATGAACCGGTAATAAATGCAGCAGTGAAAACCGTGAACGATGATCCTCACAAACAGCGCCAGAAAGGACTTGTGCCACACACAGCCCCGCATGGTGAGATTCTTTGGGTTCATCCAGATTTGATTGGAGATGAACAATGGACTGGAGCCTCTTCCAAGAAGGGGGAGCCGCAGCCATTCCAGAAGGAGACGACGAAAGTAT